CCCTTCCAACCCAACCCATTCTATTATTCTCCAATCCCAGGTATCCTGGATCCCAATCCGTGGCAAAACCACCTCTTAGTCCTTTCTTATTAAACCCTGAGATAAATTTGGATGTTAAAAAAACCCCAAAAAACCACAAACCCACCCCTTTCTAACCTGAACAACGACGTGGGAACAGATCCCAGCGGGATTTTTTCGGGATCCCTTCCAAGCCATTCCAACCCATTCCAAACCATCCCGTGACTCCTCCCAGGGGCTGGAGCCAAGGAATCTTTCCCTGTGGCTCTTTTCCATGGCCACGTGTGCCTGGGAGGGGAGGAGGAGGAGGAGGGGGAGTGACCTCAGTTCTAATCCCCTCAGACATCCCAGCTGCTGCTCCCAGCTCGGGGAGGAGCTGCCTGGGATGGGGGAGAATTAAAAACCTCTGGCTGTTTTCTTGGGAATGCCAAAGGATTCTGGAGAATCACAGAATCAGCTGGGTTGGAAGGGACCTCCGAGATCATCCTGTGTTACACTGGCTGTGGCTGTGGCTGTGTTTCCTTCCACATATCTTAATTTTGTGGAATGTTTAGTGTGAAATCTGCTGGTTTCTGGGCCTGGGCAAGAGAAGATTCTCTCTTAACTGTATGTTTGTCCAGCTTTTTCCTTGGCTGCAGAGCTTGGAACTTGAAGTTAAACTAAAAATGGTCCTTGGGAGAATCCAAAAGGAATAAATGAATTCCTCAAAAAAAAACCCCAAAAAAAGTGGGATTGTGGCTCAGAGGGGAGGAGAAGGGCTCAGGTTGGTTGAGAGGCTGCAGGGTTTGCTGCCAGCAGCTGAAAAAAAAAAGTTGGTCAGAGCAACTCCAGGGCTTCCCATGGCCAGGAAAAAAAAGCTGGATCAGCCCAAGGCTCTCCTGGCCAAGAGCAGAGCGGCCAGTGAGCAGCTCAGCAGCTCCAAATCCTGCTTTTGGAGAACCCTCCCTGCATCTGCAGGGCTGGGAGAGGCTGTTCCAGCTTTTCAGAGGCAGGGAAGTGTCCCCCTGTGGATCCAGCCCCGTGCCAGGCTGGGGGGTTGGGAATTCCAGAGGGAATGTGGGAGGTTGGAGGGGGGCAGAGTTGGCTGGAAGGGGTTTGGAGCTCTCTGGGCTGGTGGGAGGTGTGGGAGGTGTAGGGGGTGTCCCTGCCCCGGGGACTGGAGGGGAAAGGACTGGAGGTCCTTTCCAACCCAGACCAGGCTGGGATTGTGATTCCCACACACACAAAGGCTCTTGGTGCAGCCCCTGCTTTTGGGCTCTGCTTAACTCCTTCCTCTCCCTCCTTCCTTCCTCTCCATCCCCTCCTTCCTCTCCCCTCCTTCCTCTCCCCTCCTTCCTCTCCCTCCCCTCCTGCCTCTCCCTCCTTCCTTCCTCTCCCATCCCTCCTTCCTCTCCCTTTCCTCCATCCTCTCCCTTCCCTCCTTCCTCTACCTCCTTCCTTCTTCTCCCTTCCTTCCTTCCTCTCCGATCCCTACTTCTTCTCCCTCCCTCCTTCCTCGCCCTCCCCTCCCTCCTCTCTCTTCTCTCCTTCCTCTCCCATTCCTTCTTCCTCTCCCTCCTCTCTCTCCTCTCCCTTCTCTCCTTCCTCTGCCATTCCTCCTTCCTCTCCTTTACCTCCCTCCTCTCTCTTCCCTCCTTCTTCTCCCTCCCTCCTTCCTCTCCCTTCTCTCCCTCATCTCCCTTCCCTCCTTCTCCCTTCCCTCCCTCCTCAACCTCCCCTCCTTCCTCTCCCT